GTAATCACATAACTAAAGTTTGTTTATCTTTTCATCTCTTTCAGGGATCACATAGAGGAGGTTGTTACAGGGACCCAAAAAGGTCTTAACTCTTTGAGTCACAAGGGAGGCAGCATACGTTCATAGGTTCCTGATTTTACGTCTCTTTTGACTACCCTTTGGGTCTCTGAAGCTAAACCCCCTGGGACTCAAAGAGTTAATGCACTAAAGATTATGGCAGCAATGGACATGAAGCAGAGACTATCGCTCAAACTATGTCAGCACTTAATAATCTCAGTGACTGATTATGGATTGGGGTTACTCACTGTCTCAAAGAGTCAGCTAGAGAAACTGAAGCACATACAGAATAAAGCTATGCGGGTGATCCTGGGATGTACAAGAAACACCCTGATTGTGTGCATGTGATACATCCATGCATTGTTGACTATTTCAGATTGGCTAAAGGTGCTGCAGGCTAAGGCATAACTCAGAGTAGATGCAGACAGGAAACACACTCTGTATGAAGCTTTGGCTGCAGTTAAGGGCCAGAGGCTGAAAAGGAGAAAATCGTGGATGGCTCAAACATAAGACACAATCAGACAAGAATGCATGCTGGAGAACATTGGGCGAGAAGAGGAGTAGGTCAGAGTACCAGAGGAAAAGTCTGACTTGTGTAGGGTTATGATCACATTGGGCCGGGGGTGCAGAGAGTAGCCAGCGGGGGCTAAGGAGGTGGTAGTCCAACAGTTGATTCCGACAATTCACACCCAAGTGATCTGATTATCTTTACTAATTAGTTCGGTGGTGAGAGGAAAGAGAAGTGCCGGCATGGTGGGGAATGAACAGACAGACCGATTAGCTGAATCTGCACCACTGGGTGGTGAACTGATATATGACAAGGTAGATATAGTCAGGGCCCTTTGGGAACAAGTAACGAAGTCAGAAAAGAAACTGAGTTATTATGGCATGGAGAGAATAATGCACCTGGGTGTGACCAGATGTTTTGGCCGGCTCACTACACTCAGAGGAAAGACGGACGCATAACCAGACTGTGACCTTTATTATTAGTAGTGGAACTCTGTGCTAGCTGCTGAAGATGGGGACGGAGAGCGTATGGGAGTGTCCTGAGTGCTGTGATGTCAATTCTTGACCCAACTCAGCCTAACTCAACTCCTCCTGGGAATACCTGATTGCGTTTGAACACTGAACACTCACCAGTTCGATGCTGGTTCATACGTTTTCTTGTGATTTGATTTTGTTTTAATGTGTATGTCTTGAAGATATGCGGACAGTCGTAACTTAGTTGTTGACATTTCTTGGCCTAGCAAACGACTTAGTCGACTAACTGATCGATCGATCAAAAAGTAGGTGTTCAATGTCAACGTGTGTCGCGGGAAATATGGAATGGGCATTTGGTTTGCGAATGATGACTTTGTTGTTTGTGGTGTTCTTTCTTTCTTTCTTTCTTTCTTTCTTTCTTTCTTTCTTTCTTTCTTTCTTTCTTTCTTTCTTTCTTTCTTTCTTTCTTTCTTTCTTTCTTTTCTTTTCTTTCTTTCTTTCTTTCTTTCTTTTCTTTCTTTCTTTCTTTCTTTCTTTCTTTCTTTCTTTCTTTCTTTCTTTCTTTCTTTCTTTCTTTCTTTCTTTCTTTCTTTCTTTCTTTCTTTCTTTCTTTTTCTTTCTTTTCTTTCTTTGGTTCTTTCTTTTTTATCTTTGTTTCTGTCTTGTTTTCTGTTTTTTCTTTCTGACTTTCTTTGTTTTATTCTTTCTTTATGCCTCTCGTTCCTTACATTTTCGTCTATTTCTTTCTTTCTTAGTCTTATTTTTTTCTTGTCCTTCTTTCATTCTTTTTTCTACTTCTTTCATTATTTATGTCCTTCTTTGTTTCTTTCCTTCATTCCTTCTTTCCTTGCATAGCTTCTTTGTAGCAGCTACTAACAACCTTGTCCACGTCATTATTAATAATATTATTAATAATAATAATTGTCCCTTTACGCAACAGGCACATAGGGCTAGACTCATATTTTGATAGACCTCGATTAGTGATGTTGTCAACATCACACCGACCGCCTTTACTTTCCAGGACCTTACCTGGTACCTATATAATGGCCTGTAGAGAATGAGGCACCTGGGTGTAACCAGAGGGTTTGGCCAGCTCACTACACTCAGAGCAAAGGCAAGGGACATTTAACCAGATTGTGACCGGTACCATCAGTATCAGAACTCTGCCCTGGCTGCTGAGGATGAGGCCGGAGCATGCATGGAAATGCCCCGAGTGCTGCGATGTCAATTCTGGACCCAACTCAACCTGGTACCCATTTAACGCTGCGTCGACCCGGGAGACGAGATTATGTAGGGGAGAGAAAAACTATCCTTCCAGAGGCGGGGGTCTATCCGCCACACTATGCCCCACCCCTCCTCCAATGACTACGTGCTGCTAACCTTGTAGTAGTTCTTTTGATAACCATTAGCGTATAAAACAAGTGTCCTCTGGCACGTTTATATACAGAGCGACGTTTTAGCTTGCTTTATATATGACATTGTCACAAACAAAATTTATTTTATCCATGACGCCCATCATACTTGACCCAGTGAGGAGAGCAGCTGCAACAAGGGATGTAACTGCAGGGAGAACAGTTACTTCCCCATCTGTGGAGACGACGGCAGGACCTACTACTCTCCTTGTCACGCCGGGTGTCTTCAGGCGGAGCATGGGGTATATGTAGTTGTGATTGTCAATGAAACGTTTCTGTTCATCTGTGGATTCGTGAAAATTTTCATTATTTCACACCCCCCCCCCCCCCCCACCCCCGAACCAGGACATTAGGATCTTTCTTTCTTCCAGGGAATGCCGGTGTGTTGGGAAACGAAGAGTAAGACTGGTTGGCTGCTGCTGGGCCACTAAGCGGTAAACTGATGCACAACGAGTAAGATTTTGTCAATATTTTTGGACAATAACCACCACCTACTTTTGACTTAGTAAACCTGGGAGCCAAGGTCAGTTGTGACCACCCCAAAATCAAACTCTAGACCTTTGACCCGACAGCCGAGCGTCAAGTTCGCTGCCCTACTACTCCTCCTCTCTTTTGTAGGGAAGAGAAACTGCCATCTTGTATCGCGTATCCTAGATATTCGTTTATTCTCTCCCCTGTCACAATACGTCGTGGAGAAGACATACGTTCGAGCGGGTTCATGTGTGAGAGGTTTGTCAGTCAGTCAACAAAACAATTAAGTAATTTAACCTTTTCCACGCCGTTGACACATTGTCGCTTGTAGCTACACTAAATTCTTTAAAGAGGCTTTGCAGATGGTCTATAACATTCTGATGGTCTATAACATTCAGATGGTCTATAACATTCAGATGGTCTATAACATACACATGGTCTATAACATTCAGATGGTCTATAACATACAGATGGTCTATAACATGCAGATGGTCTATAACATTCAGATGGTCTATAACATTCAGGTGGTCTATAACATACAGATGGTCTATAACATGCAGATGGTCTATAACATTCAGATGGTCTATAACATTCAGATGATCTATAACATTCAGGTGGTCTATAACATTCAGATGATCTATAACATTCAGATGATCTATAACATTCAGGTGGTCTATAACATTCAGATGATCTATAACATTCAGGTGGTCTATAACATTCAGGTGGTCTATAACATACAGATGGTCTATAACATTCAGGTGGTCTATAACATTCAGATGATCTATAACATTCAGGTGGTCTATAACATTCAGGTGGTCTATAACATTTAGGTGGTCTATAACATTCAGATGGTCTATAACATTCAGGTGGTCTATAACATTCAGATGTTCTATAAATATTCAGGTGGTCTGTGTCTACAGGTGTACCAGAACTGTACCTGCATACCTGGAGGCCAGGCTACAGCCGGCACCTGCGACTACGGCTGCTCCCAGTTGTACGCCTATCCCGTCGTTATGGGCCTGAGAAAGATGTTTGCCACCTTGTCCATCATCCCAAACATACTGATTCTCATCAGGTATGTCAATGTCTCATTGGTCTCATCATAATACTGTACTCATCTCTCGTTGTCTTACTGTCTTATCGTGTTAAAAATATCACATGTAACCGTGTTGCTGTACTCATCTGATGTTCTTAATATTGTGTCTCATCATTTTGATGTGCTCATCTCCCATCGTGTTAGTGTCATAATATCTCATCATCTATACCTACTCATCTCTTACTTACGTTACCCTACTCATATGTCCCAACATGTTACTATACCTATCTATCTCCTCGTGTTACTGTACTCATTTTCATCATTTTACTGTTACTTTTCCTATTTTTCAGTCACGCCTCTGTAATCTTCTCTCACATGTTACAGTACTCATTTGTTTCATCATGATGTTAATAGCATCCCTCATCACATGAATGTGCTCGTCGCATGCGAGGCAAGGATCGTGGATCCACACGCGTGTAAGGTGGAGAAGTACAGTGATCTTGTACCTTGTCCAGAACTAAGCAAGGGTACGTATTCGCTACTTCACTGTGGCAAGAGACCTGGTGCTAACTTCGCCTACGATATCCTGAAATTGCTGAAGGCAAACGCGAGACGGCCACTGAGGCAATGGGGGAGGCGGCTATGATAACCTGGTGCTGGCTGGAGAAACCAGATTGACGTGGGGGAATGATCTTGGCAGGCTGCCTCTGCATCTTAGTAGAAAGCTTCTATCAAAGTTGTTAGCATCGACCACTCAAGTCAAAAGAATGTCCAATCAACTAAACTTATATATTTCACCGGACTCGACTGTTATACTCAATAAGAAATGTCAGCCAAGTCTTGACAGCCAATGGTGGTAGTTAAACTGTGCAAAGAGGGAGGGATAGGAGACCCGACCTACCTGTCGAGTCCGGCATTAGAAGGGAACTGGTTTCTCTCGGGCTGTGCTGTGAAGCGGAGTTGTGAAATGGGATAGAAGAAGGCAAAATGACAACAGTACGGTGTCAGGCATTATAGCGAGCCGGACAAGGCTGTTGGCAGGT